GGGTGCCCGAGGAAGCGGCGAGGAAGGCGAGGGTCTCTCTGGAAGGAGATCGCGGGCGATTCTGTTTCTAAATGCTGTCGTGGAGCAGCGATCAACGAACGTTATCCCGGCTGTACGGAGAGTTCAGCGGAACGGGCCCTCGAGGAAGCTGCGCGCAGAGGGGCCTGTGTTGGGCGGCACGCAGGCCGAATTCATCCTCATCATCCTCATCGTCATTTGTGGAGCCAGAAGGTTCTGGGGGCCGCAGGTTCCTCCCCAAGTGTGCTTTTATTATTGCTATTATTATGGCATAGATACTCATTCCTGCAGTGTAATTTGCATGTGGGCCTAGGAAAAAGAATTGAGCAACGGTGTTGTCGTCGTTATTTTATCATGCCTTTTTTATATATATAATTTAAAATGGTGAACGTGCCTAATACTCCTGTTTTCCCCACAACAACGACCCTGTGAGGCGGGTTGGGCTGAGAAAGAGAGGCTGGCCCAAAGTCACTCAGCCGGTTTTCATGCCTCAGGCGGGACTAGAACTCACCGCCTCCTGCTTTCTGGGCCAGCACCTTAACCACTACCCCAAACTGGCGTTCAGTATTCTCAGAAGATCATAAGACAGGAAAAAATAAGCAATAGGGGCTGCTTTATAGTTGTCGCCAATGATGCAGGGCAGCTATTTAGTACATTTCAGTATCTTTTTCAGTGCCTACCACCCTGAGGGTTTTCACGGGAGCTGGAAAAAGTTGTTCTAGATTGCATGGCATTTAAGGTTCATTAACTGAAAGACATCTGGCTATGAATGTTATCTGTGTATTTCTGTAGTTATCTGAGGCCGTGTACAAAGGAAAGAGAAAATACATTTCGGCTTTCAGAAGGCTGAATTTTGGCTCATATCTATAATTTGCTATCTTCTGATGTAAGCAGTAGTGCACATGCTAAAAATTGAAATGTTCCTCTGCAAATTACTAGGGATTATGCAAGTTAATTTGTTCTTATTGTGCGTAACCATGCTATAGAGTCATAGAATAATAGAGACTGCATCATTCTGAACCTCCCCTTATATTTCAAGAGCTCAGTAGAAATCATTCTCATCATCCATTCTGAAATTTGTCCTGGATGACTTTTAAACATATCTTGACAGCCATACGGGCTTTTTTTTTTTTTTTAAATCCTGGAACCTGAGATTTCTGCTGCTGATAATCATTTTGTAGGATTTGTTCTCTGTGGAGTCGCAACGTAACAGTGTAGGACACTCTTCCCCTTCAGAACTGTTTTCATTCTGTAATCTCCCACCCAGTATTGCTGTTGGCCATGTCGTATGGGGGATTATGAGCGTCCATTACATTTAGAGGACACACACTTAGGAAAGATTGGCATAAAAATAGGCAGTAAGAAATGATTGATTTGGAAAGAACAGGAGGGAGGATTGGCCATATTATTGAAGTAGTATTGTGCTGGTTGCAGTAGATCTAAAAGGAGGGGTGGCATTGTCTCTATTTTGTAGCTGACAGAAAGCAGGAACCTGAGCTTTCACTTGTGTACTATCTTCCTGGATCATAGTCCTAACGCTCCTCTATACTTGGTCCTCTAATTATATTCACTTAAAACTCAAGGAATCAAAGTAAAGATTATGAACTACCATAGATTATTCCTGTGTTTTGTAATGTTAAAAGCAAGTCTCATTACTTAGTATTTACTTTATTGTGCAACTAATAAAATTCTTATTCTGTTTTCTGGTCTTTAATATATTTCCAATTCTGAAATACATTGTTTGTAGATTTTTATGGATTCTGTTAATTAGAATATGGTATTAAAGTTTTGCCAGTTGCTAGATTTGAAGAGTTGTTGTCCTGGTAATCAAAGTAATGAAGTACTGGGTTTTAATTAAATTTTGCATCTGTTAAGACTCAGCATTCAGCAGCGCCCAGCCTTAAAAGCTAGCAGAAGCTTTAGTCCAACAGATGCAACCAGACCGGTGGGACCTTCCTACTCCTTTCCACAAACTCCCTTCTGGGCTACATATTAATCTCTGGGTGGAGTGGGCAAGCTAATGAGCATGTGTTCGTGATCAGCATAGTGCAGCTAACTAGCTATTTCTCTGTTACTTGATACTGTTGAGGGCTGGAAAAATCTTTGGGTGAGGGTCTTACTCAGCAGCTGCTGCAGAAATCTCTACTTCTGCAAAAGAATACCCCTGTGCTATTCCCCTTTTTGGTTGGACTACTGTTATAAGCATTCCTGCACTAGGATCACTGCTAGGTTGTTGTGAAGCAAGCTGATCCTGTTGCTAATACAGGTAGTCCTCAACTTAACAACCATTCATTTAGCGACTGTTTGAAGTTACAGTGGCACTGAAAAAAGTGACTTATGACCAGTCTTGCGACTGTCACAGCGCCCCTGCAGGCACATGACCAAAATTCAGGTGCTTGGCAACCAGCATGTATTTACGACAGTTGCAGCATCCTGGGGTCACATGATCACCATTTACAACCTTCCTAGGGGGCTTACGACAAAGTCAATGGGGGAAGCCGGATTTGCTTAACAACCACGGCAAAAAAGGTTGTAAAATCGGGCACAACTCACTTAATGACCGCATCACTTAGTGATGGAAGTTCTGGTCCCAATTGTAGTCATAAGTCCAATACTACCTGTACCAGATTTTTGAGGCCTGTCATGGGATGCTGAGAATGATGGTAGAGCTGCTTCTTTTTGACTCCTGCTTCTCCAAGAGAGAAGGTCTCCATGCTGGAAATGCTGAATAGTGAGACAATAGCTTCTGCTTATCAGGAAAATGTGATGTGGCTGAATTCATTCTCCCCTTGTCCTTATGAATGATTCTGCTGCATTGAGAAGAATCTCTCTCTTTGGACACACAGGTTTTTAAACGCTAAACTAAATTCCATAAAAGCTTAATTTATTTCTACTTCCAGCCATCTCTCTTCATCTCTGCATTTTTTACAGTGATTTCTCGGAGTTGTTAGATGCTATGCATTAGACCTTCAGTGCTGTGTTTGCTTTTGATTTACCATACTGTATGATGCCTACGTATTGCTGTGATTTGTAAATCATAGTTTATACTGGGATGTATGAATCCAGATATTTTATCCCTGTACTTGAGTGATGCAGGATATTAGTGTAGTCAGTCATTCCATTTTATACTTTGACTTTTGGATCAGATTAGGAAAAAAAATTGAAATAATATATGGCCTGTCAACCCTTCTCACATAAGCTATTACTGGTACATTTGCCAGTCTTTTCAGTGTATTTAGTTCTGTTCTATGGAAGAGACTGAAATGAATTATTTTAGAATAAATAAGACTAAGGCAACAGCATAGCAGAATAATAATTCTTTAGCTGTGCTTTCTGTTTGTAATATTTACTAAAATGTAGCAGAGATAGATAGGGAGTTAACTTTTTGTTTAAAAAACAGAAAAAAATAGGCTGAACAAAACAAAGGTGTTTTATAATGAATTGACTTATATTTGGTCTATGAAACTCTGATAGATTGCTTACATGTGTTGTCGAAGTAGCTGCTTTACCCATGTGGTATTTCTCCAAAACACAAAATGACGCTACCTTTAATTGTGAGGCTGTATATCCAGTCAGGAGGGTAGAATCCTAAACATGGAGATATAAAAGGCAGCTGGCATTTTCTGTGACTAATTTTCTGTTGTGATTTTGTTTTTTGTCTAGGGCATTGACTGGTCAGTGAGGCGTGGCAGGAATGTTCCATCCACTTCAATGGAGGCCTCTCTCCAGCCTTTATTCCTTTTATACTAACTCAGCCCGCTTCATCAGCTATGAAGGGAAACGGCATTTGTACTGGAATGAGGAGTTCTTGAAGGGGAAGTACCAATGGCTGCTCGCTTGGCTACGGAAAGGCTTAGAGCAAGACCCAGGGCAGAAGAGCCTCCTTTCCCTGCTGGCCAATCAGTGCAGTTATGTGACAAGCCAGAGAATCAGGCGTGCTCAGCAGATTGCGCAGTTGTACAGTAACATTTACTCCGAGAGGGCGCGCAACAATCTCTTCTCCTCCTTGTGGCGCCGATTCCAGGGGCATCATGCCAACGCCTGCAAGCTGATGGCAGCCCTCGCTGGAGTGTTCCTGTGGGAAGAGGAAAGGATCAAAGAAGAAGAGCTGAAAAGGTTGGTCTTCTCTGTTTTCTTCTAAGGCTCAAAGGCTGTTGCAGGCGGATAGGGCTCCTTCTGTGTTGATAATAGGGCACATTATGACCCAGTTTCCTTTAATTCCTCAGGGACTAGGGCAGGATTATCACATAGAGGGAAGAGATTTTCTAGTAGTGCTTGTAAATCCAACAGGTGACTGGAACCTGGTTTACCTTTGCCTCCATAACCACCAGACCACTGACTATTGCTCCAGAGTTCTTTCTAAAAAGAGAGAGATCAGCACCTGTTCTTTAGGCCAGAGTGGGGGGAGAAGAGAGTGAGCGCCCACCAGCTCTTGTTCTCCATCCTGTGACCTTCCTGACTAGCATCTGAGGAGTTTTATACTGGTGTTTTACTACGCTGTTCATTTATGTCTTTTATTTCACTGTTAATTGACTTTTAATTGAGCTTTCACAGGCAGGCTTAAGAATATTTAAGAAAGCAGGAGAAGCAGTATGGGGAGTAAGTAGAAATATGCACAGGTGGCTTTTTCCAAAGTAGTGCTCTGCAGTTTCCCTAATTCCTAGTCGGTATAATAATAGGTGTTTTGTTGGGCATTATGGGGGTTGTTACCTAGCATGTGGAGGGAAGCTTGACTTATCGTCCCCAGTCAAAGCATACAGCATTCGTTATTGTGCATTTTCAAATAATTACATGGGTTAAGTAAGTTTTTAAAAATTTTTACCACCTGTCTGTTTTGGAGTGCGCTTGACTCTGTAGCTGTTGATGTGTGATTTGCTATGTAGTGTGGGGCAGTCTGGTGCCCCCCCCCCCCACCAGTGTTTTGTACGATAAATTCCAGATTAGCTTTCCATTGGCCACTGAGGAAAGCTGAAGTGCTAAGCCTCTGGCAGATGCCAGATTCCCTAACTGTAGCAGACCATATACCTGCAGGATTTAAAAATCAGGGGGAGCCAGGCATGTCATGAAGCGAGCACAACTCATGAAAGCTGCAGGAATCTAGTCCCCTAGAGCTGGGGCACGTTGCTGGGAATGTGTGAGTTCATTGTTAAACAGTTGGCTGCCTACAATGGCTCCCAGTATTCCTCTGGCTATCTTTCTAGCCCTAACCGCTTGGGACCAAAGAATCTGAAAGGCCTCATTTTCCTGTGTATAGCTGCCTGGGGAAATACCTCCCAGTGCTTGGGGTCTTTGTGAATACACTATTAAAAATGACATTTCCTAGGCTTTGAAATTAATTCGTTGGGAGGCTTACTTAGCCCTCATTTCTATTGACCTTCTTTAAATGACTTTTTGAAATTGTCTGCTGCTGAATTTAACGGAAGTTCACTCTTTTTGCTGGGGGGCGGCATATGTCTTTGTTAATGTAAGAAGCTTCTTTGCCACTTTCTAAAACTAAAGCTGTTTTAGCTATCTTGTGCAGAAAGATGGGGATACTTAATATTTCTCCTCTTTCTGGAAAGGGGCAATGTGGCTGAAACTATTGACTTAAAGCGTTGATGGTGGGTTAAGGTTTGTTAAAATAGGATTTAGAGGATGTGAAAAGGAAAGGAAGAAAGAAAGGATGTCACCAGAAATTCTTGGAACATAGATTTAGTAAAGCTTTTAGCATTAAAAAAAAAAACTCCTGCAAGGAGGCTGTTAAGAACTATATACTGGCCGGGAAACTCACAGTGAACTTTTTAGCTCCAAGAAAGGCAGCTCTTCGTATGCTTGAGTGTCCTCAGAATGTTTAATAAAAAGAAACTCAAATGCAGTATGTATCAGTGTGTTGCAAATCTGTTCTGAACCATTACCAGATGAGGTCTCGCAGCTACGTTTTTGGCTGTTTGTGCGTGTTGCTGAGCTCAGGTCTCTGTGTGTTCTGAGTCTTGTACAAATGTTGAATGCTTTGTGTAATCCAGGATACTATTACCCAAGCAGTTGCCTATAATCACCTGGATCCTAGTATGTGCTTTTGTGAAGGTCTCTGTCGTGATTAACGTTGAACTATGGTGAAAGAGATTTGGTACAGTCCTCCCAGTTCACCTTGATGTTCTCTGAGTGACATTGGGCAAGTCCCTGTATCTCTGCCTAAGCCACCTTGACATGTTTTTTGTGAAAATAAATCAGGAGTGATATACTGCTCAGCTCCTGCAGCAAGTGTAGTATAGGCATGTAATGCTTTTTTAAGACCCCCTGAACATTCCAGGCAGCTTCTAAAAATTACAAGTCTGAGTTTTTATCCTTTGCAAACCTGGGCCAATCAGTGGAAAGAAGAATACATCTAATGTATGAGGGATAAACACATTTTGGAATGAGTTGTTTTCCTTCAGCTTTGACTTCAGTGCAAGTTAAAGTCATCATAGGAATATTTGTGTGAGCTCAGTTGAAGAGAATGGGAGGCATGTGTTCATGACAAGTACCATTGACCTGGAAACCTTCAAGGTTCAATGTGGCAGTTGTCTTAAAAGCAGCTCTTGAAACATCACTAGATGATTTGACTAATTTACCTATTACCCTCATTTAGTCCTCTTTAGTCATGTATGCATTTGACATATTTGAAACATCTGGCTTTCCAGTTAACCTCTGTCATGTATGTTGGAGTTCATAGCCAAACTCTCATGGCTAGCTAGAATATGGCTGGACTCACACAATATGCTAAACCCTAAATCAAGATTAATAAAGCACAGTTTGTGTGGTTACACAACATGGTATGAAATGACAGCAACAACCATATGATGGCTTGCTTAGAAGGCCTGCTTCATACAACCTGCTATGATAATGGTTGCAGTCCCAAAACACACTGAACCACAAACCAGCCAACGGCATTTTATCCTAGGCTGGCATATTGTGTAAACCCAGCCAAGGAATGGGTAGGATGAAAGAGATGCTAAATGTTTGCAGCTGAAGCCTTTTAAAAGATGAGAATTAGTTACCCAGATGGGAACATCGCTCTTCATTAAACGATTTCTCACCATCGCATGCTCCCATCCATTTGTTTACTGAGCTGGGAGAATACGATTTTGCAGAGTTAAGATGTGGAGAAACAGAACTACTATCATCCTCTTGTTACATTGGAAACAAACATAGAACTTATTGTAGGTATACCAAATTATCCTTTTACTAGTTTGCCCCATGCCATTTGTGATTTACCAAGCTGAGTACAGTGCAACTTGAATTTCTGCTGCCCGAATAGGAGTGCAAAATCCAGGGGCTGTAATTACCTTTTTGGACCAGAAATAGCAGAGGCACGGCCTGACCTGTGCCATAACAAGGGCAAATAGAGCTGCCATTTTAATTTGACAGCAAATGCAAAAAAATAAAAATAAAAAAGCCTGCTAGGTGGCAGTACTGAGCTGTTCTTGGCTTGTTCTTCCAAAGCTAAGCAGGGTTAAACCAGGTTAGTGCTTGGATGGAAATCCACCAAGAAAACCCAGGGATCTTTTTAAAAAAATCATGTAAAGAAACACTAGCAACCTGCTTGCATATTGCTGTCAAAAACACTCCATGAGCATGGTTCAGGAAGTCACTCGACTGGAGAGTTTACTTTAGAAAAAAAGGACAGCATTTTTTGAATAGTTTCCTAGTCCCTAGTCAAATACATGTCAGGTTGATTAAATGTTACCAGACAAGCCCATGGGGATGGCTTTAGGAGGATGGTTAAGTCTACTTCCCTAAAACATTTTTTAGCTTGAGAGGGGGAAAACACTGAAGTATTTCTTTAACCCACATATACCCCAGTGACGCATACAAATAGATCTCCTAAGATATTGTGTCCTGAGTAAATAGTAAAATAGATGAAATTTACAGTGTCGAGAAGTGCATGTGTCTTAGATGTTACAAATCTATTTTTATATAAATTCTGCAATGCAAAATGTACCTTTAATCTTAAACACAGCTTGTAGGGACACTTTTGAGGCTCTGTAATGAGACAGACTGAGTTTCTACATCTTTTTCCCAGATTACCAAAAATGATGAACTTCCCTCTGCAGGTTAGACCCCAGGTAAAGATTTCCCTCCCTAGAAAAACTTTCACATTTAATATCACATATTTTGTGGAGTCCTTGGGGTTCTCTGAGCTTGGTTGTTTTCTTGCAAACGTTTCATTACCTGGCTAGGTAACATCTTCAGTGCTAGAACGGAATGGGTTTGCTCTCTGTTTATATACAGTGGCATGCCTACCAGTGTTGGTGGGGGTGGGGGTTTTGTTTTGTTTTTTCCTCTGGTAATTCCACATATCACATATTTTTCTTGGCTAGGATGGTCGAGAAGCAGTTGAGTCATGCCTTGCATTTTTATTTGATTATTTGTTTCAGATCCTGTGGCCACAATAGGATTGCAAGTACACCTTGGTTCAGTCCATTTGCTAGGAGATAAAAACATTCTTTCAGTGGTTGCAGATGCTTGGAATGTAGTATTCCAAATTTTGCCAGAGGGTAGGAAGCTTCTTAAAATAAAGCTGATTCATAAAAATTTATCAATAACTAGGGCAATATTTCTGAGCCAATTATTACCCTAAATAAACTACATTTTGTTTTTGGCAAGCTTACTACATGAAAAAGTTCCTCAGTGGTGGTATGGTGGGGCAAAAACTTCTTAAGCTTTAGAATTCAGGGTGACCCAATTTTTTCATGGAAACCCGGGTTTCTAGGATTAGACATGGAAAGGCACAGCTGGCCAGAATTCAAACTGGAGGAATTGCCCACGAACCTCACAAGGCAAGGAGTTGTTGTGAATACTAATAATAGCATTCCTGGTTGCTTGCCCTATAGTACCTAATGAGCTATGCTGTCTGTTGGATGTTTGGGGCACCACCTCTCCCCAGCTTCTGACTTTCATACTGGTGCTGTTGTAGGAGGGAAAACTTTATGTCTCTTTCTGCCTGTGTAAAGATGTGAAAGAGGACATGCAACCTGAGGTAGTTTTGAAAGCCTTTGAAAAGATGGTGGCCTTGTTTGGCATAGCAGTAAATGTGATGTATGTATGGGAACAAGCCAGAGAGCCTCAGAGATGTTCATTTCCCTCTCCTCCTTTCCTTATGGTAGCAGGGGCAAGGGCTGATTCTGATTGTGCCATCAAGTCAGTGTCTGCTCTTAGCCACCACAGAGATAGATTTTCTCCTGGAGGATCTGTCCCCAGCCTGGTCCTTCAGCTCTTCCAACAGCGTCCCCATCATCACCGTAACTGAATCCATCCACCTGGCTGCTGATCGTCCTCATCTTTTTCCTTCCAGGGAGATGTTAGTGAAAAGCAAAAGGGTATTAGTCCAGGCGCACTTTGTTTTTTTGTTTACAAGAATATCCTTGTCTGGATGTATTTAATTGTACGTTTATTTATTGTTTTAACGTGTTGTGAGCCGCCCAGAGTCCCCCATTGGGAGGAGATGGGCTGGGGACAAATTTAATAAATAAATAAATTTCATAGTTAGGCTGGTCTGGCAAGTTTACCAGTTTTGTGCAGCTTTGGGAATAAGGCTCCTATTTTACAACCATCCCTGCCCCGATTTGATGTTGCCATTTGAACTAGCTGATAGGTTCACATTAGTTAGTTTGTTTGTCAAATTTATGATTGCCCGAAGTGACTCTGGGTGGTGTACAATAAATCAAAAATGGAAACAGTTTGTAAACCCCTTAAAACAATAAACTTAGATAAAACAAGACCACGAGAGGGAAGATGTTTACATACGATATAATCAGCATGCAGGCTCCCTATTTCCAGGGGATCCCCAGGCTTACTGGGGAAAAAAAGCATTTTGAGAGCTTTACGGAAGGCCATAAGAGTTGGGGCCAGCTTCATCTCAGGAGGGATGATGTTCCAGAGGGTGGATGCTATGGCAGAAAAGGCTCACCACCTAGGTCCCATCAGATGGAACTCTTATGCGGATGGGACCTATAGTATGCCTCTCCTGCTGGATCTGATGGGACAGGTAGATGTAATAGAGTAGATGTAATAATTAATATAATATAATATAATATAATATAATATAATATAATATAATATAATATAATAATA